ATTTATAAAGAGAAAACATTTATTATTAAATGTAATGATAATTTCTTAATTTATATTTTTACGTGTTTGTATAAGGATCTTTAAGTTTTAAGAATTAATAATAATGGTGATTGAATTATTTACCAAGATACAAATATAAAATAATGTCACATCAAACACGCATTGATCAATTTTATAAAACAGTCGGCAATAAATATCCTTCGCATGTAATTAAAAAGCATTCTAGGTTAAAAACTGCGCCGTATTCAAAAAATGTTAGTTGAAATTTTCATATCTTTTAAAAGTTTTTATATCAATTTTTAAAATTACATTGTATGGAAATTAAATTATTTTTTTTTATTTTTATAGAAAAAAAAAGATATAAATAGAAAACAAAATGTTTCATTGTCACAACATATGAAATCTGATGATGTATCAGATTGTACTATTATATATGAAAAGTCTAATGAAATGCATGATAGCTTTTTAAATGATACAAAGATTCAATATGATGACGAAATAATGAAAAATAATATATCATTATATGAAAATAATCACTTGGAAAAAACATCAACAAATATTAATATGCAATTACAAGAAACATTAGAAAATAAATTAAATAACGATTATATGAAAACATTAGAACTTAATAGTAATAATAATTCTCACTTGAAGAAAACTCCAATTAAAGAATCAAATTTTGCAAATATAAAACAAAGGACTCCAAATAAAAATAATTTTTCATCACAAAATACTAATAATTCTTCTATACATAAAAAATTAAGTTACACACCTAGAATATCATTTGAAAATAAATCTCCAAAAATTATTGAAAAGAAAAACTTATTTGATGAAAATATTAATAATTCTATTATTATTCAGACTATTGAAAATATGAATTTAGTAAAACAAGGTGTTATTTCATTACATAATTTTGATCTAGAAAAAATATATTCTAAAAATACATTTGATTATCAATATAATAATATAAATACTGAAAATTTAATAAAATATGAATTAAACAATATAAATTTATGCAATGATTTGAATTCTAAAATCTTATTCACTACTATTTTTAGTGTACTTTCTCTTCCTATTAATTGTGGTTATTTTGATGAAAATGATCTTGATTTTATATATTCTATAATTACTCTTCCTATAAATGCTCAAATGTTATTAGCTAGGATGATAAAAAGAAAAAGAAAATGGTTTAGAAAAAATAATATAAGTTATCCAGAAATAGATACAGAGTTAAAAGATATTTTTCAAATTCTTGTTTCACGATCTATTTGTACTTTTGATATTCAAAAGGAAAACTTATCTACAATACTTGAATTATTACAAGTAAATGAAATTCAACAACTTTGTAAGAACATGAAAATTAATCCTAAAGGAAACAAAAAAAGTAATATACAAAAATTATTAAAACTGTCAAATAATAAACCTTTATTTCCTGGAATAAAGTCCCCAAGTAATTTTTTGTATACTTCAATACTTGATATATTAGATTATTGCGTATGCATTACTACTAAAACATGGAATATTATTGATAGAATTATAACATTATTAATACCAAATCAAAATCTAAGAGATAATACATCAGATATATTTTACTTTTTATGTGATGTTTATTTAGGAAAGACAATATTTCCGAATAATACTGGAGATTATTTTCCAGTATTTTCTTGTAAATTACATTTGATAAAGTAAATTTTTTTTTTAATCAGCAATAAATATAAAAATTGATATAAATTTTAATTGTTTTTAATAATTTTATTTATTTATATTTGTAGTTATATGGAAGCTAAATCTATATTATCTACAACATTACAATATATTGAAAAGAAAGATTGGAAAAAAGTACAAGAATATGGAAATTTAGCTATGGATATATTACCAAATTTATTAGAAATTGAATCATTAAAGTAATATAAATTTTAATAAAAAAAATGTTTAATAATTTCAATTTTAATACAGATTATTTTTTAGATTTATTTTTTAATACAGACAATTTTTTAGATTAAAAAATTCTATACTTCCTATGCATGTAAGATATTATATGCCAGGATATATATGGTTAAAAATACTTTCTAAATGTATAGAAGCATTCAAAAAGAATCGAGATAAAAAGCGAGTAGTAGAAATTTTATCATTTCTATTAAAACAAAACTGTCATATGCTTTCACATAAAGGAAAATGGTATGAGGAATTAGCTCTCATTGAAATGTATCATCATAAAAATATAGAAATATCTGCATCTATCATAATCCAAGCTTTAAATACAGAAAATTTGACACAAGTAGATAAAGTAAATCTTATAGATAGAGCAAATAAAATAGTCAAGAAGAAAATAATTAAATCAATTACAAAAACTACTGTTAATAAAATCTTAGATGATTATATTCCTCATATGCCAAAATATAAGCCAACATCTATCATTATAAATGCCACAGTAATGCCAAGGTAAATTTAATTTTATATTTTATTATATTATAATTATAATTTTTATTTATTTTAAAATATAATGTGGAATTAAATTATTTTTAGAAATACTGCAGGAAATAAAAGTATTTGGTGTATAAAAAGTAGTATTGAGAATCAAACTTATGGCTCAGTAGAAACTGTTGCATTCCATCATTATCAGAAACAAGGATTTCCCAATGGATTGCACTGTGAAGGTGCACTACCAAATATACTATTTTGTACTTTATTTTGGGAAGAATTATATGATATACATATTCCTGGAGCATTTGTAACACCATATCAAGAAGCTCCAGGAGATTTATATACAGATCAGTTTTATAAAAATAGAAAAGAAAAAATAGATATGAAACTTAAAATAATTAGTGATTTAAATTCTGAATTATTAAGTTCTAAAATGAAAGAAAAATTTATAATATTTAAACAATATCAATCGGTTATGTTAAGAAATTTGGATAATAATTTACAATTGGAGGTAATTTTATTGATATTTTATTATCTGATTCATCAAAAAATGTAATAATATACAACATTTTTATTTATAGGAAATAGTACACTGTTTGGGAGTACAAGGTGTAGTAGGGATTTGTAAACGACTCATTGAAAATTTTAAACTTTGGAAAGCTGGATTTCCAGATTTAATTGTTTGGAATTATGATACTAAAAAAGTATGTATATTTATTTAAAAAATAATATCATTAAATCTATTAAAAAATATATTTTTTATATTTTATATTATGTAATTTTTCATAAATTAAAATTTCATATTTTCTTAATTAAAAAAGCACATTTTTTTTAAAGCATAAAATTATAGAAGTAAAAGGTCCTCGTGATGTTCTTTCAACAAAGCAAAGATTATGGTTAGAGTACTTACATCAACTTGGACTCAATATTGAAGTATGTTTAGTACAAGGTAAATATTCTACATGCTCAAAATGTTCTGTTCATATTCAAAAATCATAATTCTAAAGCTTCTGGTACAGTAACAGTGCAAGGACCTTGAAAATGATACCTTTAAAATAATGCATATAATAATATTATTTTGTTGCAGATAAATGCTGAAATCTAGAGAAAAAAAAATTGAAGAATTTAATAATTGTGAATAAATTTTATAACTTTTTATTATAAGAGAATAGACATTATAAGACTTTAATTAAGATATTGATATAGAATTTTTAATATTTTAATAGAGTATTTTATTTTAATATATTATTTTTTTTAATATAAAATTTTTTATATAATTATTTATATAAAATGCTTTCAATATTTTTAATTTCAACTTACTCAAAATATGATGTAGCAGGAGTTGTTTCCAAATTAAATTCAGCAACAGGGATTCCATGCTGTGCTACATATGGAGCAAACATTGCTGCAGGATAAACAATAGATGATGTACCGATAACCAGGCAAACATCACAATTTTCAACGGCAATATCTAATATTTCAATAAAGAAATTAAAATATATTTTTATTTTATTGAATAGAAATTTAATTTAAATTTTAATTTATAACACGAAAAAATTTCAATTAACTTAATGAAAAAAATTGAGATCTAATGAATAATCAATATTGGAGAAAATTTTATTAATTGTCACTAGAGATAATTGCAATTCAATTAATCGCTATTTTATTTATTTTATTAATCATTATTATATATTATGTTATTAAAATTTTATATTGCATTTTCATATAATATTTATTCATATAATAATTATTATAATAAATACTTACGTGCTTTTTGCATTATGTAATCATCTAAATTTTCTCCAAACCATACAATGTGAGGTCTCAATATATTTTTACAATTTTGACAATGAGGTAAATCTTCTTTTGGAATATCAGAACTCATAATATTTGGATCTGGCGATCTATTCATGTTTATATTATTGACATTCATTGTATGCAAATATTTATCATTTATATAAAGGTATAAAAAAAATATTACCCTTTCCCTTTTAATGCAGGGCATATTGGAATATTTGTATTTTTAACAACTTCATGACAAAATGTACAACGAGTTTTAAATAGTGAACCATGAAGTTCCACTACATCTTTAGCTCCTGCTCTTTGATGAAGTTCATCAATATTTTGTGTTATAATCGTAACATTTTTACCTTCCTTTAAATAACGATTTTGGAAAATCGCTATTGCTTCATGAGCCTATGAATTCCATTCAAAATAATATCTTTAAAAAAATATATTGTAATTATTAAAATACCTTATTAGGTTTAGCTTCTAATGCTACTCGTCTACGATATTCATAAAATTCCCAAACTAAAGAAGGATTTTCTGCAAATGCTGTTGGAGTTGCAAGACTTTCAGCTGGATATTTTCTCCAAAAACCACCAGCACCTCTAAATGTAGGAATACCAGATTCTGCGGAAATTCCACTACCAGTCAATATCAATACATTCTTCGCATTTGCCACTATTTCACGAAACGATTTCATAGTATTCATAGTTTTTATATAAACTTTTTTAAGGTTATTCTATTCTATATTAATAGATTCTTTGTTTTGTTTTAAATAACATCTAAAGTTTATAATTGGCATGCGTATTGTTTGACAGCTGATTCTTATATACAGGTAATAAATAGTAATGATGACGTAAAATCACAAGTCGAGTGATTTTCTTTAAGTGAAAAGTAAATTCACAAACTTTTTATGCTTTTTTAACAAATTTTTATGCAAAGAGAATGAATATTCTTTAGTAAAATCATAAGTACGAAACCTTTCAAACATTAGATATTCCGAAAATGTTTCTCAGAAGTTTTTTTAAAAAAAAATCTAAAGTACGCTTATTTTTAAAAGATATTTTTATATTATATAATCATATAATTGTTTAATATAATTTTTTAGACAATACCACGTAAATTTATAAATAACTCTTTTGGAAGTTACGAGGTTATTGTACCATGGGAAATTTCTGAAGTTAGAGAAGTACCATCATATATTCCTAAACCTTCTTATAGTCAAACATTAATTCCACGTGATGGTCCAAAAAAACCTGAAATTAAAGATAAAAATCAAATACAAAGCATGAAAGACAGTTGTAATTTTGCCAAAAAAGTATTAACTTATATTAAACAATATATAAAGGTATATAAAATATAATAAGCTATATGAAATTTAATTAATAATATAATTTAAATATTTTTATTTCTTCTTACTTTTCAAATCTTATTTTAGCCTGGTATAACTACAGATGAATTAGATGCAATAGTTCATGAAATGATTATAAGTAATGGAGCTTATCCAAGTCCACTTAATTATAAAGGATTTCCAAAGTCAATATGTACTAGTATTAATAATGTTGCATGTCATGGAATCCCAGATAAAAGACCATTAGTGAAAGGGGATATATTAAATATTGATGTAACAGTCAGTAAAAACAATAATATATTATAAAATAATGTAATATGAATATATTGCTGCATTTATAAATGTAAAAATATATAAAAATAAAAGTAGTTTTATTTTTTTCTATATTTAGGTATATTTACATGGTTATCATGGAGATTGTTCAAAAATGTTTGAAGTAGAAGAATGTGATGATGAAGCAAAACGTTTAATAAATATAACAGAATTGTGTTTAAAAAATGCTATTGATATTTGTAAACCTAATGAAAATTTTTCCAGTATAGGTAATGATTATATAATAGTTTAAATATAATATAATTATATAATCTGAATATTTTTATATTTTTCTTTTTACTTTTGTCAGGAAATATTATTGAAGAAACAGCAAATAAAAATGGATATTCTATAATTCCAGTATTTGCAGGACATGGTATAGGTACTTATTTTCATGGTCCACCAGATATTTTTCATTTTGGTAAGTTACTATTTCTATATTATATATATATATAGATATAGATAAATTAAGAAAATTATGTCTTATATTATTATTAGCAAATAATTTTGATGGAAAAATGTTACCTGGAATGACATTTACTATTGAACCAGTTTTAAGTCAGGGTAGTGAAGAAATTAAAATTTTAGAAGATGGATGGACTGCTGTTACAGTAGATAATGCAAGAACAGCACAATGTGAACATACTGTATTAGTTACTGATACTGGTTGTAATGTATTAACTCGTTAATCTTATAAATTTACTTTTTGTGTATATTTTCTATTGCTTCAAAAATATAATTAAAAATTGTATAGAAAAAATTCATTTAGAATTGTTACAGATATTTTTATTAAGAAAAATTATTTATATTTATTTTTACATAATAGCAGGTCCCCAATAACTATCTAAAGTTAATGGTCCTTGTATTTCAACACCTTCTTCCCTTGTGATTATTCCAACTTGATACTAAAAATTAAAAAAATTAAATTTTTGTATTAATATAATATTAAAAATACACATATAAAATTCTTATACTATTATTTACCTTTGGAAAAGACCGTGCATCTCTGTAATAAAGAACTTGCATTACTTTATACAAAAGTTCAATTGCTTGCTCTTTACTCATTTCTTTATTTTCTTCATAAGCTTTTCTTAAAATAGGTGTTGCCATATATGCACCATATCCAGTTGCAATTACTGGATCACTATAGGCTGTACCAAGTTTATCCACAGTACCCAAAAATCTAAATAAAAATATATTATTACATTTAATATAAAAAGAAAATAAAATGAACTTACAATTTATCCCCTTCTAAACCTCCAATAATAAAATTATTCCAAAATGGATCAAACTGTGATCTCCTACTATATAATACTCGAGTTAACCAACAATGAAGAGCTTTTGGTTTTAAAGATAAACCATCATCAAGACATTCTTCCTCAACACTATAAGATATAAAAAAAACAATGAAAATATAAAAAGATATATTGAAATTTATATAAAATAATTATGAAAACATAATTGAAATATACATTTTTCTTTCAATGTGGCTTTTTAAGCATTGATAATCAGCATAATCTCCTCCTGCACCAAGGATAATATTATCATTCACTTTCATCACACGTTCAAGATTTCTATATCTAGCCAATGATCCATATGATCCAAGAATATCTGTTGCTATGAGAATACCATTTTTAAATTGAATTCCAACTACAGATGTACCAGTTGTCATTGGTGCTCTATAAAGTAGAAAACAAATATCAAGTTAAAGAAAAATATATTTGATGATTGGAAAAATTAGATTTAATCAAATAATTAATATAATAGTAAAATAATTCAAATCTTATACATTTTTTTTATCAAATTTATTTTATTAAAATATTAAAAATATTAATTTTTTAACCGCTGTATACAATTTATAATTTTCATATTCATTGAAAAACATGACATGCAGTTTTAAAAAAAAATTTTCAAAACGAAAATGAATGTATGATAAAAAATTTTACTGTGATCTTTGGAATCCTCCAACTTCAAAATGCGTAGAACTTCCCGGAAAATGATAAAATGCACCAGGTACTGGACCATTTTGCCATAATGGTGCAGGAGTTTGCCAATCAGCTTTGTTAAGCGCCATGTTTTTTACAGGTATAAAACAGATTGAAATGTCATTCAACTGAAGTCTGAATATTTGATAAGTTTGTTCTTTACAAAAAAACAGTTCCTAAATTTCCCATCTAGAAATATTTAATTTCCCCCAAAAATCTTTTTTGATTAATTTTAATAGTATAATCGAATATTAAGATATTATAAAATTTAAAAAATGTAAAATTTTAAATGTATTTCATTAATAATATATTGTATTATTATATATATAATATATAGTAATTATTATTACTATATAAGAATTTTCATAGATATTTAATTTTATCTCTATAAAATAAAAAATATAAATTATATAAATTATACTTTAATTTTTATGTTAAAAAAAATTAATATAATCTTTACATAATCATATTCAAAAATTAAAAAATTATTATTATTTATTTAAATATTCTTATAAAATATATTCTTATAAAATAAATAAATTCTTGACATAATGAAAAATATGAATTATGTAATAAATTATATTTAAGAAAATAAAGTAAATTATATTATAAATTATTTTATATTACTTTTTCGAAAAAAAACTATTTCTCAAAAAAAATTTAAATTTAAATATATTTTATATATATTTATTTGAAATAGAAAATTTATTTCTACATATAAGAATAATATAAATTATAAATTATATTAACATATGATTATTATAAATACTAAATATTTTGTGAATCATATTTATTATTATATTTAATAAAGATGCAAATGGAAAGATAGTTTTAAAAACATTTTTGAATTTATTGATAAAAAAATTGTTCTGAAATATATTTAATTTTTACGAAATTTTTGATATTATCTTTTTATTCATTATGAATTCATTTTAAAGGAAATACAAAAAAAATAATATTATTAAAATCAAATTATTTGAAAATTTCATTATAGAAGATGTGTTATTGTTGTTTTTATTATTTTTATCATTATCAGTATCATTATCATCATTTAAGTCATGATAATCAATTTGAGATAAAACCATGTTAATTGATCTTAATAAAGGATATTTTTTTTCTCTTAGATCTAGAGAGTTATTGAGAGATGCACATTTTCCACTAAAATCATCAGTATCGATGCTCCAAATCATTACACCGGACAAATTTAAACTCATCGCGTATTCAACCTAGAAATATTGAAAAAATAGAGTAGTAAAACTATAAAATATTTATTAAATATTTTTAATTAATATTATCATTATTTATGATAGATATTAATCAACCTTTGCTTTTAAACTTTTCGGATTATCAAACATAATAACGTGGTCATCATTGATTACGTAAGGTGTGTTACTATTATCATCCCACCCAGTTATCCACTTCTGTACATTAGTTATTAGTTCTTCACAAATCTGAAAAAATATTATATATATAAATTACATATGTATATTAAAATATAATATATATGTATAATAGAATTTTATTAATGAAATCAAATCAATAGATATAACTGAAATTCAACTTAAATCTGATAACTGAAAATCAACAAAAATAAAACATACTTCATTATATCCCATGAAACCATTTTCACCAGTATAAGGTCCCTTGAATCCATCTAATATACTTGTTTGACCAATAGGACTTTCTTTAGAAGAATTCATTTTGTTAGCCAAAATAAAAGTTCTTCCATACATTGGCAATCCTAATACTATTTTATTTGATGGTGCACCTTTACTTAACAAATACATAAGTGTATCCACCTAAACAAAAACTTTATTCCATTTATGAATTCTGTTTATGGTATTTATTATATTTTATTTAAAGGAAATACAAAATTATATTTCATTATATATATACATATTTTATAATATTTTATAATATATTTCATTATATTTTATCTAAATGCATTACCACACTTTGACCGTCTTCGCTTTTTAATGGTGCATTTGGAAGTACTTTTCTATTCCATGTACCATGATAATCATAAGCCATTACATGAATATAATCAAGATATTTTGAAATTTCGGGAATATCATACGCCATATCGATAGTTGCTTTATTAGAACTTAAAGCTGCTGTTAATAGATAATTCGATTTTTTGAATGCTTCTTTTAATTCCTGTTAAAAAATTATATTTCTTTAAGAAAATGTAATAAATTTTTAATTTCTTTTAATTATGTATTTTCAAAAATATATCTTTAAATATATCGTAAAAAATATATCTTTTTTTTTATATTCTTTATACATATATACTTTGAGAAGAGAAACAAAATTTTGTTTATCCGCAGGCATACCCCCCCGTGATCCTGGATATTCCCAATCAAGATCGAATCCATTGAAACGATATTCACTGTAAAATATAAATTATTGAATAAACAAATCTGTAAAAAAATAAATTATCTTAATATTTGATTCTATACCCAAGAAATTTCACTACGCTGTCAATAAATTTACTTCTATGATCGGGAGATGAAGCGAGTACAGAATAGCTTTGACTACCTTCGTTCCATCCTCCGATTGCAAGAAGGATTTTCAAGTTAGGATTTTTTTTATGAAGTTGAATCATATTTTTATAATTATCTAAAATAATGAATGACAATATCATTCATATAAATTATTTTAAATTAAATTTATTTCTATGTACTTCTACTCCTATACCTCTTTCGATATCCAAATGAGGATCAAGACTTTTAATAGTCCACGATTCATTATTTAATCCGGCGAATGCATATATAACATGCGTACAAAGTTCTGGATTGATATCAGAAATTTCAAACATTCCATTATGATTTCTGTAAATGGCCCAGGAAGCAACATAACAAGTTACAACCTTGTTATGCTTAGACCTTAATAAAGCTTAGTAAAAAAAGTATATAATTTTAAAATATAGTTTCATAATTTAAAAATATTAATATATAAAATTATTCATTTTTTCACAGATGATTCATTTTTAAAATAATTATTTTATTACAATAAAATAATTTTATCATAATATTCTTTGCATTATTAAAATTTTTCAATAAGTCAATAAGATATGAAAACATGAAAACATATATTTATATAATAAATATATGATTATATAAAATATATTATTATTTATTTAATATGGAAAAAAAAAATATGGAATATTCAAATTATATATATTCAAATTAAATTGTAATATTTCGATAAAAGAACTTATTTTTATTTATTTTTTTAAAAAACAAAGTAAAACAAAGATTGTGTCGAAATGTCAGATTTGCATTGCATAAGTATCAAATGAAATGTCAAATATATTCTATACATTTCTTTTTGTTATATAGTATTTCATCAAATAATATGCTATTAATTGAATTATTTTTATTTTTATTGTTTTTATAATATATATTTTGTTATTAATTTTTATTCATATTTTATTCTAATTAAATAATACATGTATATTCCATACAAACAAAATTTTATAAATATTTTTTTCTAAATTTTTATCGTAAAAAATAAAGAGATTATTTTTTCTGAATAAATATTATTTTGATTGAAATATAAGTAGACTTTAAATATATATATAATTATTTTTAGTATTCAATATTTATTTTTTTTCCAATATAGAAAAATCATCATATAATATAATAAATATTAGAAATTTCAATATAAATATTATTTAACTTATTGAACTATTATATATACTTACCTAAAGTACCATTATCACTGAAGAAAAAAATTGCGAATAGAGATAAAAATTTATATGTCTTCATTATTGAGAACCACTACACAAATGTCGAGTTATTGTCCTGATAGATAGCTTTCACTCGATTACAATACGGTACTTTTATACTCTAAGGAAAAGAAAAAGTTGCACTCGAAGTCTAAAGAAAGATAGAGCTAAAACTTGTTGCTGAAGATTCTTGTACAATAAACATGTATATATATATATATATATATATTTGAAACATCTCTATGAATAATGCCAAGATAAATAAATAAATTTTTGATAAATGATAAATGATAAAAGTAATTTTATATTATTTAAAATTATTATTTAAAAACTTAAAATCTAATTGTAATATAATTTTTTTCTCTCCTTTTTACTCTTTTTAAAAGATCATCATGAGATTTTATATAATACAAATTTAAATAAAAAGAATAGAATTATATTAGTTGAATATTTTATTTATTGTTATTTTTAAAAAAATTAATTGCTCCAAATTTTCTGCAACCTTAAATGCAGTGTGTAATTCAGGTAATCTAACATAGGGGTTATATAAGCCGATTTTAATTGTCTATAATACTATGATAATACTATGAATTATTGTTTTTCTATTTTTTCCTTGTTACATATTTTCTTTATTTTGTTCTATATATGTTCTATATTTTGTTTTATCAAAAATTTATATAATTATTTAATTTTTTTTATTTTTAGAAAAGCGTTATGTAAATGTATCTTAAGCATATATCCAAAGCATTTAAAGATGGCTGTAATATATCATAAATCATAATAGGTTAAAGTGTTTATATTAATTTTTTAAGTTTGAATTAATTTTTTACAATGCCAGTTATACTTATGACTGGTATACCATGTAGTGGTAAAACAACAAGAACTTGCGAATTGAAAGAATATTTTATAAATGAAGCAAAAAAAAAGGTAGAAATTATAAATGAAATTGATGTTGTGACTAAAACAGGTTTTGATCGAAATAAATTTTTTGCTGGTTAGATTTAAATTTATTTTAATGTTTTTATATTAAAAAAAAAATTCATTCATCATCAATTTATTGTTATTTTACTGTAGATTCAAAAAACGAAAAAAGAGTGAGAAGCGATATAAAGTCATCAATACAACGATTATTAAATATAAATGATATATTAATTATTGATGCTAGTAATTACATTAAAGGATATCGTTACGAGATCTATTGTATGACAAAATTATACAAAACTCCTCAGTGTACAATATTTTGTAATATACCAGTTGAACATGCTTGGTTATGGAATATAAAAAGACCAGAACATGAACAATATAACAGAGATATTTTTGATGCACTTGTAATGAGGTAATAAAAAAATATCATGGATTACTGTATTAAGTTTTTAACAAAATATAATTAGAGATTTATAATATATAGATATGAAGCACCAGATAATAAAAATCGTTGGGATATACCATTATTTAATATATCACCAGAAGATGAACTAAAATTTGATGATATTTATAAATCATTATATGAAGTAAAAGCACCAAAACCTAATTTAAGTACACAATGTGTTAGTATTAATATATACAATGAATTGATAATATAATTGATTAATATAATTTTCAATTTGTTTATTTTAGCCACCATTATCATCTACTAATTATTTATATGAATTGGATATAATTACTCAAGAAGTAGTTAACGTAAGTTGTTTAATAACATTTTATTAATAATTATAATAAAATTTGTAAATATTATAAAAAATGAAATACCATAAATGACATTATTATGACTAATTATAAATTGATATTTTCTTTTTTGATAAAGGCAATATTATCATCTAAACAATTAGGTATTGAAAGTGAATTTAAAATACCAAAATATAACTTGATGGTACATAATCCATGTACTGCAATACAACTTATGAGACTACGAAGACAATTTTTAATTTATAGTAAAATGCAACAAAGTGAAATTAATCAAATCGCATCATTATTTGTACAATATCTTAATAAAAGTTTGTAAGAAAAGATATTGGAATATTTAGTTATTATTTTTATATTAATATATATATATATACAAAGTGAGATTGAAGGATCAAATACATTTGAATAAAAATAATTCTAAATGCAAAAATAAATCAAAAAAGAAAAAATATTTTATTTTTTTTCTAAGAAAATTCAGAAAAAAAATTGTTAAATAAAAAGAATTTCACAAATTCTTGAATAGATATGAATTAATTAAATTTATAAGAATAAATAAAAATCATAAAATAAAATTTTTTTTCGAAAAAAAAAAAAAAAAACGAAATTGAACAAAAATAATTACTCAATGAATTTTTAAATTTAATTTCCTCGAAAATTATTTGAAAAATATCACATTATATTTATTTTTTATTTTCACATGTAAAATAATCTTATTATAATAATCTTTTATATCCATTCAGGAATTAACTAAAAACTTTTACATTTAATAATTTTTCAAACTTAATTTCAAAACAAAGTCTCAAATGAAAAGATATTATTCCTCTTTTTCAACTTATTCTTATATGAAAAATTATTCTTTATTTAGTTATACCATTCAATCTTATTTTGTATATTTTAAAATAAAGTTATTTTTTTAAAAACAAATCTATTAATCTTTTTAAAAATATATTTTTCTAATAAAAATTATATTCTTACATTATTAGACCTATTTTATTTTATGATAATTTTAGCCTGTATGTATTTTGCGTTGTAAGATAAATTTTTGTTGCACAATATTACTGAATTCTTATTTCTTGATAACATAATATATAAATTATATTACAAAAGAGCAATATTTGTGCGACTTCGATATTACATATTTCTGAAAGAATAGAAGAAATAACAAACACTAGAATTCTAGAATTGCACTTTCTTTATAATATTAATTTAACTCACAGAATTAGAAAAGACAATCGGTTTATAACATAAATTTGACAATAAATGAAATTTGTTTTTAAATCAATTAAAAAGGATATTGCATATAATGCACATGCAACCAAATTGACTTTTATTTCATATCATCACGGTATTTGGTAAATATTTCAAACAATAAACATTAATGATATGCTAAATCACATACCTAAACTCAAAGAAAAATTGCAAAACTGTTATTAGTATTAAAGTAGAGTTATTTTGAACTTGAACAAACTTCTGTCGATATTTAAAAAAATAGCTACATTTTATTATCCAATTTATTAATAACAGAACAATTATGTTTAGCGTTAGTTATAACGAAATAAAATTCTTGATAAAAAAATAGTAGTTCAACTTTTATTTAACAATATTTAAAGATTTTTGTTATCTTTTCTAGATTCAAATTACCTAATATTGACTTGATTTATAGAGTATAACAGCTTTGCTTTATATTAGTAGTAATGAACCTATTATATAATTCATTTACAATTACATCAATTTCTTTTATATATAAAATACAGAAAATCGTCATTAATTAATTTTCTTGTTCTTGCATACCATTACTTTCAGTGCCATTTCTATGACTCATATTATCTATATGTCTTTTAGGTTTTCGACAAACGAAATATACGCTATTATATTCACACTGCAACATGCTATTAATGTTCTGTGCATATCGAGTTTTCACACGTGTTTCTTCCTTCTAAAAATATTGTAAATTGTGGAATTTGGATAATTTTTTAATAGTTAATATTCTTTTACAAAATTCATTACCTCTAATTGAAATCCAAAACCTTGAATTACATCGCGAACAACATCATAACTTGGTTCTATTGAATCTTCCATTGGCATATCACTAAAATGATATAATAATGGACCAAGATTTATCCATATTCCTCCTGGTTTTAAAATTTTATATATAGTTTCAATAAATTGTACAACATTATTTGCACAATCTATAAAAAAACATGTAGCAACGCAATCCCAATGATTGTTTTCTGTATAAACCTAAAATATATAATATAAAATAAAAATTTAAAAAAAATTTTTTTTATCTTTTAATATATTACAATATTTACTTCAAGAAAATCTCCAGCTGCCATAGAAAATTGTGCATTTTCTGGAAGATCGCTAGGATTTACATCTGGGAAAAATACAGCTTGGGTTTGATGTTCTGGTTTTAAATTATTCATATATTGATGTACCCATGGATGTACTTGATATGAATTTACTCCTCTACATCTTTAAAAAGTATTAAATATTATTAATAAAAATCATTTCAAAAAGAATACAATTTTTACATTTACTTACTTATTTAATACAAAATGAGAAGCAAAGAGCATGAAAAGAGAAAATTCATTTCCTTGACAAGTATATCCACGTCTTGCAATTTCATATGCCAACCTTCCCAAACCCGCTCCAGGTACTAGAATTTGCACATCTGATGGTGTACTGGAAATTTACCTATCATTTCATACTTTTCTGAACTATGTTTTACTATACCACAGTAACTATTATAAATATCTGAATTATTTTAATAATATTTTATTGACACATAATGTGTTCAAGTTTAAGAGGTTCATACCAATATTCTAAAGGAAATTGATTCATAATTTCATCTATAATAGGCTGATAACATGCCATGCGTTCTTCGGTACCTTCCACACTCCAATCACGAACAAGTTGCTTAATTGTAGCTTGGACCTTTTCTTGATCAGCCATTACTGGACGAGGATTTAACGTCTGCAATCAGACCTACCTATATTTTGTACAATAGAATATACTTTTATAAAAAAAGAAGCTTGTTAAGATGATAAAAAAAAATCCAAGCTTGAATGAGAAATAAATCAAATATTCTTTTTAGAAAGATAAATATTATAATAAAATTCTTATGTATAAGATAGAAACTTTCCTTTAATGAAAATTATATTAGTAATTAAAAAACTATATAATTTTAAGATTTTAATTTTCAATAAGAAAATAAAATATTATTTAATAATATAAATGTAAACATTTTGTTTATGTTTTATATGATTATATGGAATAAATTAATCATAATTTTAAAAACATATATTGTACAACAGAATATATGTACCACACACCAGGTGAACTTTTCTTACACTT